TCGCCGATACCGATATATCGGCGACAGGCTCATATCGGCCGATAATATCGGCAAAACGATATATCGGTCGGGCTCTACTATATATGCCTTTTCTGTGAGGCACAGATTTACAAGTTTGTGTTTTTTAAACATTCTCTTTAGGCAATCAGATGTGAGTTAAAATAAATAGAAATGAACATTTGTTTGTGAATGTGAATTAGCCTACACATTTGGGAATCAAATTTTCAAAATATACACATATATTTTTTGAGGCTCTTTTAGCTCCAGACCTGTGTGCTGAATGAAAGATATGTGTGTGAGCGCTCTGAATCTACAGGAATGCTTGTTATTAATATGTGTGGCACTGAGATGAGAGAGATGAAAGAGTAATGAGAAAATGGATATTAATAACAAACTCCCCTTCATCTGTTCATTCTCATGATCACATATTCTTACCTACTCCATACAGACTGAAGAAATAGTTCACAGGCAGTGACAATTTTGTCTGTTTACTCGCCCTTGTGTTGCTTCATGCTGTTATTTTTTATCTTCATGCATGCATTTTATTTTTTTCTGTACTACAGTGTTCTTTTCTAATATGAGTTGTTCCAGGAACAGATTGACATTTGAGTCATTATTTGCTCATAAACTCTCTTTAGAGACTTTCACTTTTAACTTTCATATTTTTTCATAGTTTTGTTTTGTTCAGCAGTGTAATGTAAATGTAAATTTGCTGAAATAGTACTCAGTCTCAGGCCATCCAAGATGTAGATGAGTTTGTTTCTTCATCAGATTTGGAGAAATGTAGCATCACATCACTTGCTCACCAATGGATCCTCTGCAGTGAATGGGTGCCGTCAGAATGAGAGTCCAAACAGCTGATAAAAACATCACAATAATCCACAATAATCCACACCACTCCAGTCCATCAGTTAATATCTTGTGACGTGAAAAGCTGCGTCTTTGTAGGAAACATATCCATCATTAAGATGTTTTTAACTTTAAGCAGCTGCTTCTAACCAAAATACGAGTCCTCTATCCATAATATTTCTTTCTCCTGTGAAAAATTTATCTTTTCTGAATCAGAGAGAAATCTGCACAGATCAAGCACCGTTTACAAGATAAAACAGCTCTAAACAAATATGTGGCTGGATTTTGATGTGATAGTCAACAGGAGATGGACTTTTTCACTGGAGTAAGCCTTATTTTATGGTTTATGGAGTGGTATTTTGGCCAGAACTGATGATTTAAAGTTAAAACGCCTTAATGATGGATTGATTGTTGTTACCGGATTCGATTCTCATTCATTGTAATTGTATTGCAAATTGTGATATAGAATGTAATTTTTATTTGTCAGGAAATGACTGGATTGTAAACAATGTATCAGATTGGAGAGGGGGAGGGGTTAAAAATGAGAGGCATTTGTGATGTCATCAGCAAAGGAGAGTTGTTTCAGAGGTGAAGCAAATGGATTATTTTTTCCTGTAGAATAAGATGCAGAATTTACAATAAGACCAAGGAACATGAATTAAGAAAGTAAACAGAATCAGTTTGAGTTCTGAATCATGACATTCCTTGTGATTCCCATTTTGTGCCTGTTCCAGAGAATGGCAGTGCGTTGCAGTCGCTGTTGTGTTATCTGCGCAGATCCTGTAAGGTCTGTCTCTCTCATTCACCCGTCTCTCTCTCTCTCTCTCTCTCTCTCTCTCTCTGTGTTTCAGAGCTGGCTGGTCCAGGCCCCCCCCCCGCCACTCAGGAGTTGATGACACGCTTGGGGTTCTTGCTGGGCGAAGGCATCCCAGGCTCCTCGCGCATACCTGTGGACGACAAGAATGAAAAAAAGGTATTTTCCGCAACCGCTGCCAGAGTGAGAGAGCGAGACGGTGAGACGGACGGGAGAAAACCGCAAGGATTAAAGCCGCGTGTTTGCTGTCTGTCAGTGTGAGACGCGATGAGGAGTGTGTCTGTGTGCCACCACAGTAAGTCATTCCCGTTCGCTCTGAACCGCTGCAGAGCCGGCGACCAGAAACTTGAGTCGTGTTAACTTGAGGTCTGCTCCAGAAATAGTTTAGTTCTGTCAGGGTTTCGGATGATGAGATAATTAGGCTGAGGCTGTGGTCCGAACGCCCTTCATGTGCAATGCTTTTGTTTAATAAATCATAATGGCTCGTCGCTCTGAAGGCGTTTGGGAATTGCGTGAAGAGGGAAGCAACAATGTGTGTCTTTGAGAGTTGGTAATGATCTGCGTCGTGTGTTCTTGGACGATGCCGTCCAGAGGGATTCGGTGAGCGTCTTTATTCTGTTTCATCAGGCTGCCGTCTGGAAGTTTGTTTTAAAGGAACTTTCATCTGGTTTTGTGACCTTGACTGACTCACGTTCCTGCGATGACTCAGAGGGGCTGCTGGTGTTTGGGGTCTGAGAGAGAAGGACGTAAACAATCTGCCTCATTCAGGCTTTTCAACAGTCAGTAACTTGACATTAGTGCATTTCATTTTGTCTGGATCTATAATGCTAATCAAAAATATGTTCTGAAATAAATTCATACAGACAGTGAAATGAAAGCACCTCTTCTATGATGAACATGTTTTCAAAGTCTGAATTGAAATGATTTATGATATTTTTGTGGGTGTTAATGTCAAAAATGTTTACGTGTGAGTGTCAAAAAAAAAAAACATTTAAAAGCTGAAATATTTGAAAAAAATTGCATAATAGTAGTAAATAATAATAATATTAAAGAGAGGAATAATTTTATATTTAAATATGTATGTATGTATTATTACTATTATTATTACTATAACATTAAAATAGTTTTATATTTAAATATTAAAATTTAAATATTAATGTGGTGCCATTAACATCCAGGAAGACATTTTGTTGTCATGTGACAAAAAAATTGATATTTTTGTGGGGTTTAAAGTAAATAATGTCTAGTTGGTATTTTTTTATTTCATCTGGAGATTGTAATAAAGAAAAAATAATTAGCATTTAAAATCTGGAATTTT